GGGACACAGAATTGTTACTGAGGGCCACAGAACCGTTACTTAGGGCCACAGAAACGTTACTTAGGGCCACAGAATTGTTACTTAGGGACAGACACAGAATTGTTACTGAGGGACACAGATTTGTTACTGAGGCCACAGAACAGAAACGTTACTTAGGGCCACAGAAACGTTACTTAGGGCCACAGAAATCGTTACTTAGGGCCACAGAAACGTTACTTAGGGACACAGAATTGTTACTCAGGGACAGACACAGAATTGTTACTGAGGGACACAGAATTGTTACTGAGGGCCACAGAATCGTTACTTAGGGCCACAGAAACGTTACTTAGGGCCACAGAAACGTTACTTAGGGACAGAGGGCACAGAATTGTTACTTAGGGACAGACACAGAATTGTTACTGAGGGACACAGAATTGTTACTGAGGGCCACAGAACCGTTACTTAGGGCCACAGAAACGTTACTTAGGGCCACAGAATTGTTACTTAGGGACAGACACAGAATTGTTACTGAGGGACACAGAATTGTTACTGAGGGCCACAGAAACGTTACTTAGGGCCACAGAAACGTTACTTAGGGCCACAGAATCGTTACTTAGGGCCACAGAAACGTTACTTAGGGACACAGAATTGTTACTTAGGGGGACACAGACAGGGACACAGAATTGTTACTGAGGGACCACAGAATTGTTACTACAGAATGTTACTTAGGGCCACAGAATTGTTACTTAGGGGCCACAGAAATGTTACTTAGGGCCACAGAATTGTTACTTAGGGACAGACACAGAATTGTTACTGAGGGACACAGAATTGTTACTGAGGGCCACAGAAGACTTAGGGCCACAGAAACGTTACTTAGGGCCACAGAATTGTTACTCAGGGCAGACACAGAATTGTTACTTAGGGACACAGAATTGTTACTTAGGGACACAGAATTTTTACTTAGGGACCACAGAATTGTTACTTAGGGCCACAGAAACGTTACTTAGGGCCACAGAAACGTTACTTAGGGCCACAGAACACAGAATTGTTACTTAGGGACACAGAATTGTTACTTAGGGCACACAGAATTGTTACTTAGGGACAGGGACACAGAATTGTTACTTAGGGACACAGAATTGTTACTGAGGGACACAGAATTGTTACTGAGGGGACACAGACACAGAATTGTTACTGAGGGACACAGAATTGTTACTTAGGGACACAGAATTGTTACTGAGGGACCACAGAATTGTTACTCAGGGACAGGGCACAGAATTGTTACTCAGGGACACAGAAATTGTTACTGAGGGACACAGAATTGTTACTTAGGGCCACAGACACAGAATTGTTACTTAGGACACAGAATTGTTACTCAGGGACAGACACAGAATTGTTACTCAGGGACACAGAGATTGTTACTGAGGGCACAGAATTGTTACTTAGGGACCACAGAAACGTTACTTAGGGCCACAGAAACGTTGTTACTTAGGGACAGAGAATTGTTACTCTAGGGGACACAGAATTGTTACTCAGGGACACAGAAATTGTTACTCAGGACAGACACAGAATTGTTACAGGGACAGAATTGTTACTGAGGGACACAGAATTGTTACTTAGGGCCACAGAAACGTTACTTAGGGCCAACTTGTTACTGAGGGAATTGACACAGAATTGTTACTCAGGACAGACACAGAATTGTTACTGGGCCACAGAATTGTTACTCAGGGACACAGAATTGTTACTGAGGGCACAGAATTGTTACTCAGGTGACACAGAAATTGTTACTCAGGGACACAGAATTGTTACTCAGGGACAGACACAGAATTGTTACTGAGGGACACAGAATTGTTACTGAGGGACACAGAATTGTTACTGAGGGCCACAGAACTGTTACTTAGGGCCACAGAAACGTTACTCAGGGACACAGAATTGTTACTCAGGGACAGACACAGAATTGTTACTCAGGGACACAGAATCGTTTAATTAAAGAGTATGTCAGACAACATGCAAGAGGAGTGGCAGAGGAGGCAATGTTTTAGGAGCGAGCAGACGTGGCAGCAGAGGAAGGGGTCGAGGCAGCACTATTCGCAGCCAGAGGCCAGTGCTCCCGGTGTCATCCAGTACAGTGAGGAAGAGCTAACAGAGGGCGGTCAGGAACGGGGGGAGACATCCGCCTCTTCAGCAGCCAGGCGAAGAAGTACTGGGCGAGGAGGAGAGTGGCTCGGTAGCCGGTCTAGAGACAGGTCTGTCTCCTGACCCACACGCAGCCGAGGGGGCTAGTAGTGAGGCGGAGACCCTAATTGATGATGATGAGGCTGATCGCACTTGGCAGCCTCGTCGTCATCAGGCTATTATGCTTCCGCATCATCAGGAGAAGAGGGTGGCAGCTTGGCAGCGAGCAAAACAGTTCGGTGGGTTGTCTCCATCGCCACACTCTGCCATGTGCCACTTTCAGGTCTCCTCAGGGCACACTGGTGTGTTCCATTTTTTGTCATAGGGTGCTGGCAGATTACGGGCCTCCCATAGCTGCTGCCAGGCCCCTAATCTGCCATGGGCCCCTGTACCGCCTCCTCATGCTGCTGCCAGGTCCACAGTGTCTCATGCCATGTGCCACTTTCAGGTCTCCTCACACTGCTGGTGTGTTCAATTTTTTGTCATAGGGTGCTGGCAGATTACGGGCCTCCCATTGCTGCTGCCAGGCCCCTAATCTGCCATGGGCCCCTGTACCGCCTCCTCATGCTGCTGCCAGGTCCACAGTGTCTCATGCCATGTGCGGCCTTTGCAGCTGTCTCTCGCTCACACATGCCACTTTCAGGTCTCCTCACACACTGCATTTTTTTTTTTGACATAGGGTGCTGGCAGATTACGGGCCTCCCATAGCTGCTGCCAGGCCCCTAATCTGCCATGGGCCCCTGTACCAGAATTACCGCCTCCTCATGCTGCTGCCAGGTCCAGAGTCTCTCATGGGTCCCTGTACGGCCTCCCATTGCTGCTGTCTCCATCGCCACACTCTGCCATGTGCCACTTTCAGGTCTCCTCACACTGCTGGTGTGTTCCATTTTTTGTGTCATAGGGTGCTGGCAGATTACGGGCCTCCCATAGCTGCTGCCAGGCCCCTAATCTGCCATGGGCCCCTGTACCGCCTCCTCATGCTGCTGCTGCCAGGTCCACAGTGTCTCATCCATGCCACACTCTGCCATGCCACTTTCAGGTCTCCTCACACTGCTGGTGTGTTCCATTTTTTGTCATAGGGTGCTGGCAGATTACGGGCCTCCCATAGCTGCTGCCAGGCCCCTAATCTGCCATGGGCCCCCTGTACCCGGGCCTCCTCATGCTGCTGCCAGGTCCACAGAGTCTCTCATGGGTCCCTGTACGGCCTCCCATTGCTGCTGTCTCCATCGCCACACTCTGCCATGTGCCACTTTCAGGTCTCCTCACACTGCTGGTGTGTTCCATTTTTTGTCATAGGGTGCTGGCAGATTACGGGCCTCCCATAGCTGCTGCCAGGCCCCTAATCTGCCATGGGCCCCTGTACCGCCTCCTCATGCTGCTGCCAGGTCCAGAGTCTCTCATGGGTCCCCTGTACGGCCTCCCATTGCTGCTCTCTCCATCGCCACACTCTGCCATGTGCCACTTTCAGGTCTCCTCACACACTGCTGGTGTGTTCCATTTTTTGTCATAGGGTGCTGGCAGATTACGGGCCTCCCATAGCTGCTGCCAGGCCCCTAATCTGCCATGGGCCCCTATACCGCCTCCTCATGCTGCTGCCAGGTCCAGGTCCATGGGTCCCTGTAGGCCTCCCATTGCTGCTGTCTCCATCGCCATCTGCCATGTGCCACTTTCAGGTCTCCTCACACTGCTGGTGTGTGTTCCATTTTTTGTCATAGGGTGCTGGCAGATTACGGGCCTCCCATAGCTGCTGCCAGGCCCCTAATCTGCCATGGGCCCCTGTACCGCCTCCTCATGCTGCTGCCAGGTCCAGAGTCTCTCATGGGTCCCTGTACGGCTCCCATTGCTGCTGTCTCCATCGCCACACTCTGCCATGTGCCACTTTCAGGTCTCCTCACACACTGCTGGTGTGTTCCATTTTTTGTCATAGGGTGCTGGCAGATTACGGGCCTCCCATAGCTGCTGCCAGGCCCCTAATCTGCCATGGGCCCCTATACCGCCTCCTCATGCTGCTGCCAGGTCCAGAGTGTCTCTCATGGGTCCCTGTACGGCCTCCCATTGCTGCTGTCTCCATCGCCACACTCTGCCATGTGCCACTTTCAGGTCTCCTCACACTGCTGGTGTGTTCCATTTTTTGTCATAGGGTGCTGGCAGATTACGGGCCTCCCATAGCTGCTGCCAGGCCCCTAATCTGCCATGGGCCCCTGTATACCGCCTCCTCATGCTGCTGCCAGGTCCAGAGTCTCTCATGGGTCCCTGTACGGCCTCCCATTGCTGCTGTCTCCATCGCCACACTCTGCCATCTGCCATGTGCCACTTTCAGGTCTCCTCACACACTGCTGGTGTGTTCCATTTTTTGTCATAGGGTGCTGGCAGATTACGGGCCTCCCATAGCTGCTGCCAGGCCCCTAATCTGCCATGGGCCCCTATACCGCCTCCTCATGCTGCTGCCAGGTCCAGTCTCTCATGGGTCCCTGTACGGCCTCCCATTGCTGCTGTGTGCCACTCTGCCATGTGCCACTTTCAGGTCTCCTCACACTGCTGGTGTGTTCCATTTTTTGTCATAGGGTGCTGGCAGATTACGGGCCTCCCATAGCTGCTGCCAGGCCCCTAATCTGCCATGGGCCCCTATACCGCCTCCTCATGCTGCTGCCAGGTCCAGAGTCTCATGGGTCCCTGTACGGCCTCCCATTGCTGCTGTCTCCATCGCCACACTCTGCCATGTGCCACTTTCAGGTCTCCTCACACACTGCTGGTGTGTTCCATTTTTTGTCATAGGGTGCTGGCAGATTACGGGCCTCCCATAGCTGCTGCCAGGCCCCTAATCTGCCATGGGCCCCTATACCGCCTCCTCATGCTGCTGCCAGGTCCAGAGTCTCTCATGGGTCCCTGTACGGCCTCCCATTGCTGCTGTCTCCATCGCCACACTCTGCCATGTGCCACTTTCAGGTCTCCTCACACTGCTGCTGGTGTGTTCCATTTTTTGTCATAGGGTGCTGGCAGATTACGGGCCTCCCATAGCTGCTGCCAGGCCCCTAATCTGCCATGGGCCCCTATACCCGCCTCCTCATGCTGCTGCCAGGTCCAGAGTCTCTCATGGGTCCCTGTACGGCCTCCCATTGCTGCTGTCTCCATCCATCGCCACACTCTGCCATGTGCCACTTTCAGGTCTCCTCACACTGCTGGTGTGTTCCATTTTTTGTCATAGGGTGCTGGCAGATTACGGGCCTCCCATAGCTGCTGCCAGGCCCCTAATCTGCCATGGGCCCTATACCGCCTCCTCATGCTGCTGCCAGGTCCAGAGTCTCTCATGGGTCCCTGTACGGCCTCCCATTGCTGCTGCTGTCTCCATCGCCACACTCTGCCATGTGCCACTTTCAGGTCTCCTCACACACACTGGTGTGTTCCATTTTTTGTCATAGGGTGCTGGCAGATTACGGGCCTCCCATAGCTGCTGCCAGGCCCCTAATCTGCCATGGGCCCCTGTACCTCCTCCTCATGCTGCTGCCAGAGTCCACTCATGGGTCCCTGTACGGCCTCCCATTGCCATGTCCATCCCACACACTTGCCAGGTCCACTTTCACACACTGCTGGTGTGTTCCATTTTTTTGTCATAGGGTGCTGGCAGATTACGGGCCTCCCATAGCTGCTGCCAGGCCCCTAATCTGCCATGGGCCCCTGTACCGCCTCCTCATGCTGCTGCCAGGTCCAGGCGAACTCACACATGGTCCCCTGTAACGGCTCCCAGTGTAATGTCACAGAGAAATCGACAGATGGCTGCTCCATCTCTCCACAGTCAAAATGAAAATCGGAACCATGTGGTGTGTTCCCAAATTGCATAGGGTGCTGGCAGTCTCCTCATGCTGCTCAAGGAAGGTTGTGCCATGCGCCATGCATGGCTCCTGTTCAATGCTGGTTGTCAGAGCGGTTCCTAAAATCCACCATCCCACTGCAAGACATCCTTAAAATGTCACGTCCCATTGCATGCATTTCAGGTCTCCCTCACACACTGCTGGTGTGTTCCAAGCATAGGGTGCTGGCAGATTACCCTCCCATTGAGCTGCTGCAGGCCCCTAATCTGCATGGGCCCCACAGCATCCCGACCTCATGCTGCGACGTTGCAACAAGGTGGAATTCAACCCTACACATGGTTAGACCGCCTTTACGAACAGCGAAAGGCCATCACCGATTTCCTGATGTTACAAGCGGATAAAGGTACTCCCCTGTGTAACTTCTGTCAGCCATTGGCAGCTCATGCGTGACACCTGCCGCTTGCTCAGGCCCTTTGAGGAGGCCACGCTATTCGTTGGAGTCGGCAGGGACTATGGGATGAACGACGTCATTCCTCTGTTGCACGTCCTGGAACAAATGCTGTTAACAATGGCTGGTCAGGGTGCGGTAGACCTCCCATGGCGCCAGGCACAGATCTCAACGCCACATGACCCCTGTGGGGGCAGGACAGGAAGAAGAGGAGGAGGTAGAGGAGGACATTGGTGCTGTCTCAGGAATTATTGAGTGAAATGGGTGTCTTTCCACTCAGCGGACAGGAGTGGAGGAGCAGGAGCATCTGGTAGAGGGGAGGAGGCAGATTAGAGGACCCAGACGCACCTGGCAGTATGCCCCTGTGGAGATGGCCAGGGAGTCCCTCGCATATCCCTTGGCACAAATGGCCCATAGCATGCTCGCTTGCTTGCGTAGCGACCACAGCCGAATAATAACCATCAGACAGAGGGATGACTTTTGGCTGTCCACCTTGTTGGACCCTCGCTACCGTGCCACTTTCAGGTCTCAAAAATGGTGGCCTTTTTCACACCTGCTGAGAGGGAGGCCAAAATAACGTACTATAAAAAACCACCTATGTAGTCAGTGGTCTCTGCCTTTCTGCGCCAACTGTCCCATCCTCAGACACTGTGGGCCCTGTGCGCCTCCTCGCATTCTGCGCTGCCATGGCAGCAGGGGAGGGGTGGGGGTGGTAGGAGCAGTGGCAGCTCCACCAGCAGCGGCTGCCTCAGTCTGCAGTCGATGATGAGTAGCTTTCTTCACCAGCGCAGTGAGGAAACTACTAACCAGCCGCAGCAGCAGCAGCAGCAGCATCAGGTGGACCTGGAGCAGGACCTCAAACAACAGGCTTAGGCCTACTTGGACAGCACCCTGCCAACCGAGGTAGACAATCCCCTTGACTACTGGGCAACAAACTTGACCTTTGGCCCCAACTAGCTGAATTTGCCCTTTCAAAGGCTGTCATGCCCGGCCAGTAGCGTGGCATCGGAGCGCGTGTTTAGTGCGGCAGGAGGTATTGTAACTCCGCGGAGGACACGACTGTCCACCCAAAGTGTGGAGAGACCACGTTTGTGAAAATGAATCAGGCGTGGATTAGTCTGGATTTCAAACCACCAGTTCCTGACACAACTGTAAATCCTCCCATGCTGCTCATCCCATGCCACAGTGTCTCATGCCATGTGCCACTTTCAGGTCTCCTCACACACTGCTGGTGTGTTCCATTTTTTGTCATAGGGTGCTGGCAGATTACGGGCCTCCCATAGCTGCTGCCAGGCCCCTAATCTGCCATGGGCCCCTGTACCGCCTCCTCATGCTGCTGCCCAGGTCCAGAGTCTCTCATGGGGTCCCTGTACGGCCTCCCATTGCTGCTGTCTCCATCGCCACACTCTGCCATGTGCCACTTTCAGGTCTCCTCACACACTGCTGGTGTGTTCCATTTTTTGTCATAGGGTGCTGGCAGATTACGGGCCTCCCATTGCTGCTGCCAGGCCCCTAATCTGCCATGGGCCCCTGTACCGCCTCTCATGCTGCTGCCAGGTCCACAGGCTGTGGCCAGGTCCAGAGTGTGTCATGGGTCCCTGTACGGCCTCCCATTGCTGCTGCCAGGAGGCAGCAGGGTCGCAGCAGTGTCAGTGGAGGCAAACGGCCACGGAGTAGAGCACCAGCTCCACTGCAGCCTACCACCACGGCCAGTAGTGGTGCCGGTGTGCACGGAGGAAGTAGCAGTCAGCCAGTGAGGAGTAGCGGGGGCAAAGTTTCCTACTCGGCGGTGTGGCAATTTTTCGTCAAGCCCCCGAGGAAGTAAACGTAGCCGTATGTCGACTATGTGGCCAGAAAGTCAAGCGTGGCCAGGGGGCCCATGTTGGGACTACAGCGTTGCGTCAGCATATGCAGCGTCGCCATTCGGTGGCCTGGGAAAACCGTGATAAAGATACGGCGGTTTCTGCCTGCCCCAGCCCAGGGTTCCATTTTGTCATAGGGTGCTGGCAGATTACGGGCCTCCCATTGCTGCTGCCAGGCCTTAATCTGCCATGGGCCCCTGTACCGCCTCCTCATGCTGCTGCCAGGTCCACAGTGTCTCATGGGTCCCTGAACCGCCTCCCATTGCTGCTGTCTCCATCGCCACACTCTGCCATGTGCCACTTTCAGGTCTCCTCACACTGCTGGTGTGTTACATTTTTTGTCATAGGGTGCTGGCAGATTACGGGCCTCCCATTGCTGCTGCCAGGCCCCTAATCTGCCATGGGCCCCAGTACCGCCTCCTCATGCTGCTGCCAGGTCCACAGTCTCTCATGGGTCCCTGTACGGCCTCCCATTGCTGCTGTCTCCATCGCCACACTCTGCCATGTGCCACTTTCAGGTCTCCTCACACTGCTGGTGTGTTCCATTTTTTGTCATAGGGTGCTGGCAGATTACGGGCCTCCCATAGCTGCTGCCAGGCCCCTAATCTGCCATGGGCCCCTGTACCGCCTCCTCATGCTGCTGCCAGGTCCAGAGTCTCTCATGGGTCCCTGTACGGCCTCCCATTGCTGCTGTCTCCATCGCCACACTCTGCCATGTGCCACTTTCAGGTCTCCTCACACACTGCTGGTGTGTTCCATTTTTTGTCATAGGGTGCTGGCAGATTACGGGCCTCCCATTGCTGCTGCCAGGCCCGTAATCTGCCATGGGCCCCCGTACCGACTCCTCATGCTGCTGCCAGGCCCGTAATCTGTCATGGGCCCCTGTTGTCGCTTGTTGGCATATTCCGCTCGTTCAGATGCTCCTTCTCCTGCTACTCCTCTTCACGGATTCCGTCAGCAGTCTTTCTTGGAATCCGTTTCCAAGAGACAACAGTTTGCGAGCACGCACCCGACGGTGCAGAAGCTGAACGTCCTCCTGTCCAAGTTGCTGCTGCCAGGCTCGTAATCTGTCATGCGCCCCTGTACCGCCTCCTCATGCTGCTGCCAGGTCCAGAGTGTGTCATGGGCCCCCGTACCGACTCCTCATGCTGCTGCCAGGCCCGTAATCTGTCATGGGCCCCTGTACCGCCTCCTCATGCTGCTGCCAGGTCCAGAGTGTGTCATGGGTCCCTGTACGGCCTCCCATTGCTGCTGCCAGGCCCGTAATCTGCCATGGTCCATGGTCATGGGCCCCGTACCGACTCCTCATGCTGCTGCCAGGCCCTAATCTGTCATGGGCCCCTGTACCGCCTCCTCATGCTGCTGCCAGGTCCAGAGTGTGTCATGGGTCCCTGTACGGCCTCCCATTGCTGCTGTCTCCATCGCCACACTCTGCCATGTGCCACTTTCAGGTCTCCTCACACTGCTGGTGGTTTCCATTTTTGTCATAGGGTGCTGTATGGCCTCCCATTGCTGCTGCCTCCACCGCCACACTGTGGCTCCACACTCTGGTTTTGGCCCCGTGACTGCCCAAATGAGTGAAGTGTGCGGTGATTCTAAGATCGACGGCACTCATCTGCATGTCATATTGACTGTCAGTATTATTTCTCTTCCCCAGCAGACTCCAAGGGCATTTAAATTAAAGGTACAGTGTTCTGCACTAATATAAAGGCTCTCTGAAGCCTAGAAACACCCTTTTATAAGTTAAATTCGCAGCGAATATATTCGACTCGAATCGAAATTTTTCCACGAATTCGCCGAATCAGTCGAATCGAATTTTTGAATACTTCGCTCATCTCTATATGTAATCATAGGGGAAAATGTGTCTTGAATGTGATGTCTGCTTTATGGCTTATCTGGAATGTCTTTGAACTCAGTGAAGGACTTGGTTCATGGCTTTACGATATCTTTCCAAGCAAGAGTCTCACAGACATATGGGCACCAGCTAATTGGGGTTTATAGCCATGATGCCCTCCCAATGAGTTTGCTGCCTGTGATCTCTGTCATCATCCAGACCACATGTCACTCAACAGAGAGGGAGGAGGGATATCGGAGGAATCTGATTTGGGAGAGAGAGATACAAGATGGAGGGGTATGGAGCAAAATGGATGACCGCGTCCATCTCTGTGTGTACGATTGCTACAAAGATAAACACTGTATTACTAGTCAGTTCCAGTGTGCAAAAGTGTATTTGCTTTGGAAGAATAAATAATCTCTAATGTTGGGTGTCCTACATGTGTGGATATTGCTGCATTATATAAAACTATAACAACAGTTTTTTCACATTTTTAGAATGGGGTGCCCTTTTAAAATTGTGGACAGTCTTCAGGCACCCTATTTTAGAATGGAGTGCCTGAAGACTGTCCATAATTTTAAAGGGTGCCTGGGGACTGTCCATAATTTTAAAGGGTGCCTCAGGACTGTCCATAATTTTAAAGGGTGCCTGGGGACTGTCCATAATTTTAAAGGGTGCCTCGGGACTGTCCATAATTTTAAAGGGTGCCTGGGGACTGTCCATAATTTTAAATGGTGCCTGGGGACTGTCCATAATTTAAAGGGTGCCTCGAGACTGTCCATAATTTTAAACGGGGCCTCGGGACTGTCCATAATTTTAAAAGGTGTCTGGGGACTGTCCATAATTTTAAATGGTGCCTGGGGACGGTCCATAATTTTAAAGGGTGCCTGGGGACTGTCCATAATTTTAAAGGGTGCCTTGGGACTGTCCATAATTTTAAAGGGTGCCTGGAGACTGTCCATAATTTTAAAGGGTGCCTCGGAACTGTCCATAATTTTAAAGGGTGCCTCGGGACTGTCCATAATTTTAAAGGGTGCCTGGGGACTGTTCATGATTTTAAAGCGTGCCTGGGGACTGTCCATGATTTTAAAGCGTGCCTGGGGACTGTCCATAATTTAAAGGGTGCCTCGAGACTGTCCATAATTTTAAACGGGGCCTCGGGACTGTCCATAATTTTAAAAGGTGTCTGGGGACTGTCCATAATTTTAAATGGTGCCTGGGGACGGTCCATAATTTTAAAGGGTGCCTGGGGACTGTCCATAATTTTAAAGGGTGCCTCGGGACTGTCCATAATTTTAAAGGGTGCCTGGAGACTGTCCATAATTTTAAAGGGTGCCTCGGAACTGTCTATAATTTTAAAGGGTGCCTCGGGACTGTCCATAATTTTAAAGGGTGCCTGGGGACTGTTCATGATTTTAAAGCGTGCCTGGGGACTGTCCATGATTTTAAAGCGTGCCTGGGGACTGTCCATAATTTTAAAGGGTGCCTTGACCGAAAAAAGGTTGAGAAACACTGGTCTACAGGATTAGATAGATTAAGCTTAGAATGTGGCTGAGAGTAGATTTAGAGTAAGTTAGGTTATGTCTTTACTTCCATTTTAAGTTGGGTCTGCGGGTCTAAGCTGTTCATTCAGATTCTATATTGTGAATATTTGGCCATATCGCTGAACAACAACATATTTATGATGCTATTGTCTCTCCTTCTGTGTTTAATGTTACAAGGATTCCCATTTTATTTTAAGCCCCATGAAAATGTTCTTTCTGGATTTTGAGTTAGATGTCATCAAAGAACATTTTTTTGTAGCTTTTCAAGAATGAAAAGAAACTTGCTGAAGTGGTTTCATAGGATAGAGGTGAGTGCATGTATTTAGAATTTTATAGTATATACAGCATGTGTGTGTATATATCCTAGGCATTGATAAAACCACTCTTCCCTGAAGTCACATATGTTTCTTTCTGCAAGTCATTCCATACACAGTAGTAAGCCTAACTGAGGAGAGCCCCACATGTAACATGATGCCCTTAACGGTCTCCTATTTTACTTATATAGAAGTCTGCAAAATGACTAAATTGTCATACACACACCATCCTTGCAGGATACACTGTTAAATAAATGTTGCATAACCTTTGCTGATTGTTATTGTAATATATCAAACGTAATGGAATTCTTGCTCAGTCATTAACATTTGTCGACCAGCAATAATTTTTTGTAGACGAAATTAAAGGCAACAGTGTGCTGGAGACACTTAAATGAAAAGTCTGCAGTTCAAATACCCTTACATTTCTTGGATTCCACATTCACATTTAGCTAAGATTAATGTGATTGCCTGGCAAGTCTAAATTACATTAGGTAGGGTAACCCATTGATATACTCTTTTAGTTGACAGAGATACATAAATTAACACTCTAAACTACATTCCTCCAACTTATTCAGAAAGTAAAGGAGCGAATTCTAATCCATAGAGTGTTGAAACTGCCATATTGTCACTGAAAGTCAATAACAATATTCATGAACATTCCCAAGACTAAGGGAAACCCCCAAGAAAAAAAACCCAACACAAAATAAACTATTTAAAACTGTTTGCCTGTTTCAGCATTTTGCTTCTTTATGGGGTTGGTTTACTAGAGAGTACAAAATCTGCCTCAGCTTTACATAGAAACTATCAGCTTCCATTTTTTTTTAAGGCTTAATTGAACAAGCTGAAGTTAGAAGCTGATTGGTTTCTATGCAGAGCTCCACCAGAGTTTGTACTCTCTAGTTTTAGCAAATCAACCCCCATGAACCATAAGAAAAAGCTAATAATTTGGAACTGTGACTGCAAATGTACAGACGTTTATGAATTTAATTAGTTCTGCGGGACTTTTCGTGGATCGATTGCAAAAAAATTGTAAACCGAAACGTGCTTTCCCATAGGAATGCATTGAAAACCAATGAATCTGTTCCGGAGGTCAGAAAAAAGTAAAAAAAAAAAAAAGTATTTTATCTGTTCAAACTTCTTTATAAAGTGCACATTAAAGGCATAAATACTGTACAGGGAGATGTTAAAAATTCATTCGTAAATGCATTGAAAACCAATTAATCTGTTCCGGAGGTCAGAAAAAAGTCAAAAAAGTTTTATCTGTTCAAATCTCTTTATAAAGTGCACTTTAAAGGCATAAAGGGACATGATTAAAAAAAATCGTAAATGCATTGAAAACCAATTAATCCATTCATATTGCGAAAAAAATTAGTAAACCGGGCCATTATTTTCAATGGAATTTCAATTGTAAACCGAAAATCACGTTAACTGAGGCGTTCATAAACTGAGGTACGCCTGTATTCTTTATCCAACTATGCCTGTCTTCTAGGGTTCCAGCCACCAGCTAGGTATCACACAAAAAACAGTGCCATCTACATGCTGTGAATAGAAATGTATCTGCAGTTTTGGGAAGCAAAAAATTTGACCCTTTAGCGCAGGCACCATTGCCATTCTCCAAAACAAAATACTAATTCTAGTCCCTTATATTGTGTAAGTTGACCAGGTTGCAGGGGCGGACTGACAACTCATGGGGCCCCCGGGCAATAGGGGATCATGGGGCCCCTGTGTCCTTGCCCAAACTCAAAAAAGCCTATGAAAAAGGTACCAGGGGCATCTCATGGGGCCCCCTACTGACCCCGGGCCCTCGGGCAGTGCCCGAGTTTCCGAATGGTCAGTCCGTCCCTGCCAGGTTAAGAGTTCTTGTTTACTGAGGTAATGGTGTGCTGCCATGCAGAGTGGAAATTCAGTACCAGAGATTGATAAAGTAGGAAACTTGGATGCCTGTGCAAAAGGCGTCTAGTAGAGGTCAGCTAGTGTGAGAAGAGGTGACTGAGACACTAAATGCATGTAGGCAGGTGCAGTCTACTTTCTTCACTGTGAGTGGCGCTCCTCCATGTATGTGTATGTGCATCACAACATCTATACCACTTTTGTAAGCATTTCTCTATATCATCCATGCATCTCTAGCAATAAGTTTCAGTTTTCAGTGGCCGGGGCAGATTTTTTTGGATCCTCTTATTTAACTGCGGAGTGGAAACAATAAATTCCCTTCAGTTTCAAAATGTGCTTTGTTAAGGTGGACCTATTGATTCAAATGACGGGTGAGTTGAATTGATAGGTCTACTTTAAAGATAACCTGTCAGGTCCCAACCAAATGAAAATGGCACTCTTCTGCAAGTGAAGAAGTGGTATACTCGCATCTAGTGACCTGTGTCTCCTACCCTTCCATGGCTACAGTGCTACAGCCTCCGTTAGCCTCTTCAGCATTTTAAGTTTTGGGAGTATTGGTAACCTATGTCACCTACTGCATGCTGAGTCCTATAGTGATGTAGGAATTGGAGGAAAGAACCCCAGCGCACAGGATCCAGGAATTCAACACTCCTGTAAATGTTGAATACCAATTAAACTGACAAAGGCTGCAATGCTGGAACATAGCAAAGGTAGAAGATATGGGCCACTGGAGAGGTGAGCTTACTACTTCTGCTGATGCTTTGGAGTGACATTTTTATGTGTTTAGAGACCTAACATGGTCTCTTTAAAGAGGCCAACCAGGGTGATAGCACTGCTGTGTGATTTTACTACAGAATGAACATCATTAAAGGTAGTGGAAAAAAAGGGGCTCCACTAGCAGTATTAACTGTATCAAAACTATGTTCTAGGAGGATTCAGAAAAACAAAACCTGCTGTGTTAATGTTTGTGAAAGACTGCAGCATATACTGTATAACTTTTTTTAAATTATAATTTTGCACATAGTTCCACTTATTAAAAAAAAAAAAGTTGAAACAAAGCAGATATAGTTTCTCCTTAAATCTCTCTGTTGTGTCCAGTGACTTCACCTCAGTAGTCATTTCACATTATCAGCGGCTTTTGCCTAAACCTTTGATGTCACATAGTTCTGCAATGTTATACAAGTGGCTTTTAATGAAACTTTTTAGTGGTCACAAATGTTGGCATTACTTTCCATTTAGATGGGTGAATGTGTATTTTGGACATAATTCATTATGGTTCATTTTGCGGGACCACACACATGGCTGTTTTTAAATGCTCAGTTAACACTTGCTTAAAACAGAACTACACTGCACCACAACTAAACTCTGAGCACCACAAACCAAAAATGCTATTTAATTCATGTTCACTTTGAAAAACACCCTCTAGCATTTCTGGCCTGGCCATCTTGAGTAAGGGCAGATATATCATGTAGCACATGTAGCATTTACTGCCTAGAATCCATCTGCCCTTAGCTCAGGTATGCAGGCAGGAGGGTGTGCTTATCTGAGAAAACCCCTCCTCCCCTCCTGAAGACTCCTGGGACATATTACATCATTTGCCTAGGCCTGGAAACCAGGAAGTTACTGAAGAAATGTAAAAAAAGTTTTAAAAAAAGTAAATATGGTATACTTTTCTATTTATTTACTAGTGCTGGCAGAATAAGGATTACAATTAGCCAATGTTGATTGATAGAGTGAAATTCCGCTTTAAGGAAATGCCCTTGTGGCTATAGCGTTAACCTTTATCAGGTTTTGATATTATAGTTCATGTATACCTTTTAGGTGTCTGTGACATGTGTGAAAGCAGTTGTTTTGTCTATGTCCAGATACTTCATTGTGTTCATATGAAGTATGTACAGTAGATAATTATTTCCTTTTAGAATAGTGCACTTGTTACCTTGGGACTTTATCATGAGCCCTTTAGCTGCCACATACAGTGAGGAAAATAATTATTTGATTCCCTGCAGATTTTGTAAGTTTGCCCACTTACAAAGACATGAAGGGTCTATAATTTTTATCATAGGTGTATTTTAAATGAGAGAGACAAAATGTCAACCAAAAATCCAGAAAAAAAACCCACATGATACAAATGTTATAATCTGAGTTCAGTGAGTAAAATAGGTATTTTATCCCCTACCAACCAACAATAATTTTGGTTCCCACAGACTGGCTATGTGCTCATGTGGTACACAGATTAGTCCTGTCAATCTATGAAGGTGCTCCTAACAACTAGCA